CCTGGTTAACTAGACCTTCAAGCACATTTGTCATTTATGTGCTGCACATGAAGTAAACAGTGAACAAGACAAGTAACTTATTATTTAAATGTTTTGTTGTGATAATCATTAAATCTTTAAATTACAAGACAGACTATACCACTGTTTTCTTAGAAGGAACTTTGGTATGGACAGAATATACTTCGGGATTTACAATTCTATCATAGCAATTGTACTATGCTCCTAAAACAGGTCAAGAAAGTACTGCACATCTGCAATATTATACAAAAACAATTACTGAGTCAGACCCTTAGGCAGCACAAACCAGAGTGGCTCCATGCACATCACCTGGCCTGCACTGATTGACACAAGCGGAGGATCTAGCCTACTGTTTAACAAAGTAAGAATGCAATGCAGGAGGGAAGTGATCTGTTTGGCTTCTGGCACTTAGCTGTCAACACTTGAATGGGACAAAACAGGGAGCCCCAGATAAACAGAACCTTTAACAACAATGTCTTTTTTTCCTACATTCCCTTCCTCCCTCTCCGTCTTCCCCTTCCTGGCCCTTGTCTGAAGGGAGTGAGAATGCTGGATATTACCTCAACCCTTTCCACACCCATCCAGAAATAAACACACTGCAGACCAAAGGAAAACTTGGTTCCATATTTTCCAAATTAATTTTCTCTCTCCTCTGATGAACAACATGAACATACAATCAGAAACAAGAGGCAGATGCTTACAGCCTAAGCTGTGCCCACCTGAATTTATATACTCCAATAAGGTTCACCTCAAGGGAGGTCTAGCAGTGCTGTTTTCTGCTGTCCTGCTGACAGAGGGCAGTGTTTGGTTATAGCCATCCCTATCCAGCCTCTGACAGACAGAGGCCAAGGACACCATTTTATCCCCTGGCTAACAGCCTTTTATGGACCTAACCTCCATGAAATTATCTAGCTTCTCTTTAAACTCTATTATAGTCCCAGCCTTCACAGCCTCCTCTGGCAAGGAGTTCCACAGGTTGACTACACGCTGTGTGAAGAAGAACTTTCTTTTATTAGTTTTAAACCTGCTCCCCATTAATTTCATTTGGTGTCCTCTAGTTCTTCTATTTAGGGAACTAATAAATAACTTTTCTTTATCGGCCCTCTCCACACCACTCATGATTTTATATACCTCTATCATATCTCCCCTCAGTCTCCTCTTTTCTAAACTGAAAAGTCCCAGTCTCTTTAACCTCTCCTCATATGGGAACCCGTTCCAAACCCCTAATCATTTTAGTTGCCCTTTTCTGAACCCTTTCCAAGGCCAAAATATCTTTTTTGAGGTGAGGAGACCACATCTGTACACAGTATTCAAGATGTGAGCGTACCTTAGTTTTATACAGGGGCAGTAAGATATTCTGGGTCTTATTTTCTATCCCTTTCCTAATAATTCCTAGCATCCTATTTCCCTTTTTGACCGCCAATTCAATCCTACTGCTAGTACTTAATAAAATCATGTTTATTTACTATCAAGCCCAGTATAAATAATTGTTACCTGGGGGAGAAATCAGTGGGTACATCCTCTTTTCATTGTTAAAGGGGGATTACCTAAATAATTTATTTGGGGTTCTGATTCCATTTGGGGAGTGGTATCCCAGGAAGCTGGGACCATCACTGTATTTTCCTCGAACCTGAGGAGTTTCAATGTCTGTACTGTCCTCGAGGGGGCAGTGATCTCAGCTCTGTGCCTTCGCTGGGGGAGACAAGATGAATTGGCCCAGCAAGATAGTGGTGAGAAGCCCCAGAAAGCAAGAAGGTGAGTATCAGTGGCTTTGTCAGCACTCTGGGAAACACCACCAAAGGGTCTTTTGTGACCACACCTCGTTACATACACATTGCCCTTAAAATCAGTGAGAGTGAAAATATCCTACAGTCTTTCAACATGTACATATAATTAAAAACTGACATCCTATTTTGAAGCCTGATTTAAAGTCCATTATAAACAGCAAAACAACTCCAGTGTAGGCTCTTAGCCTTAGTTTTTGTGCTGTGCCAGGTTTAAGATCCAAGTACAGAATGGACTGTTCAAAAATAGGGGCGACCCTGCAGTTCTCAAAATATGTAGTGGTGACCTTTGATTTTCTGCATTCCCCAGAAAGTCCCTTGGCTGCTTCACCAAGGACCAAATGGCGCCACTCCAGACTCTGACTGAATATAACCTGAGCCTAGGCCCTATGAAGGTGGTGGAAAGGTCACACACACATATGCCACTTTTATTCTCGCACTGTGTGGCTGCCTTGATGAAAAGAGATTTGTTAACATTAAGTTTTTCTATTTGTTCCAAAACCTCCTCTAATGACACTTCAATCCGGGACAGTTCCTCAGATTCATCACCCACAAAGGATGGTGCAGATTCAGGAATCTCCCCAACATCCTCAGCCGTGAAGACTGAAGCAAAGAAATCATTTAGTTTCTCCGCAATGGCTTTCCCCTGGGTCTTAGTGCTCCCCTGTTCCTATTCCTGCACTTAAAGGGGACATATTGTTTTAATGCTATTTTATTTAAAACATTTTTTTGGCTCAATAAGTCCTTTGGTTCCCCCCCCCCCTTTTTTTCCCCTTCAAAAGAATTTTTTCCCGGGGTTTTTTTTTTTGGGGGGCGGCGGGGGTG